AGTCATCGTCGTAGCCGGAAGGGTACCAAACACTATTAAAGAGATCATGCAAAGAGCTCTTAATAAGGTCGAAAGGTGGTGCAAGGATCACGGACTATCCGTCAATCCGGATAAGACAGAAGTAATACCATTCACCAACCGAAGAAACATGAACCTTGAGGGGCTCACGCTCTTTGGATCAAGACTGACCCCATCCAAATCAGTTAAGTATCTAGGAGTCATCATTGACTCCAGGCTGACCTGGAAGGAACATGTCAACAGGGTCGTCCAGAGGGCCACTCATAGCCTATGGGCATGCTGAAGGACCATTGGACGCACCTGGGGCTTACAACCCCACATAGTGCACTGGCTTTACACAACAGTCATAAGGCCAATGATCACATACGGCAGTCTTGTTTGGTGGAATGCGTTAAGCAAGCCCACCTACAGGAAGAAGATGAACAAGCTCCAACGATTTGCCTGCATGGGCATAATTGGAGCTTTTAGAACCACTCCAACATTGGCAATGGAGGCCATACTGGGACTGGCCTCTACATCTCTTTGTGGAGGCACGGGCTCGGGAGGCCTCGGTCAGACTCAATGATTGGGGACAGTGGACTCACGGGGGGAAACTCAGGGCATGCAAGGGCCTGGACTGAGACTATCAACCGGGACCCCCTTCTCACAAGAAGGGATGCAATGCCAAAGACGTCTACCCCCCTCAGGAGATATAAAGTTGTTTTCCCCTCCAGAAACGACTGGAGCGAGCCTGACCCAGGCTTTCTCAAACCGGAAGTGCTCATCTGGTACACAGACGGGTCTTTAATGAAGGAAGGTGCAGGAGCTGGTGTATATGGAGAGCGACCTGGGGCGAGAATAAGCCTTGCACTAGGTTGATACTCAACGGTATACCAGACCAAAATCTTTGCCATCCAGATATGCGCCCAAGAGAATCTCCAGAGAGGCTACTCGAGTAAACATATCTACATATGCAGCGACAGTCAAGCAGCACTCCGGGCTCTTCACTCGGAAAAGGTCAACTCGAGACTTACACTGTACTGCATAAAAACCCTCAAACTACTCAGTGTGCTCAACAAGGTTAAACCTTATCTGGGTACCGGGTCATCGAGGCATCAGAGGCAACGAGGAAGCAGACCAGCTGGCTCGTGAGGGCAGCAACACGGCCTTCTTGGGGTCAGAACCTGTCATAGGGGTCGCCTTCTGTCTGGTAAAAACCAAGATCAGGAACTGGACTAACGACCAGTTCCAGAACAAATGGCGTGAACAACAAGGCCTCAGGCAGTCTAGGGTCTTTATAAAGAGTCCTACTACATGCAAAGAGGCAAAAAGATTCCTGAAACTTAACAGGAACCAGTTAAGAACCATCACAGGAGTCCTAACAGGACACTGGGTACAGGGCCGCACCAAGTGTTTTTGCCGCCGGGTGCAATTAAAAGCTTAAAAACACTATTTTAACTTAATAAAATTATTATTTAATGTTAACAAAAAAACGATAACTTATTTATACATATATGTATATATATATCGCCGACGGTGGTCTAGTGGTTAGTGCTGCTGTTTATTTGTGTTTGTCCTATTCTGTATTAGTCCTTCGGAGGGGACTTTAAGCCCGCGGTCCGTTCCTACCCCTAACCCGCACAAGCCATTTAGTTGGCTTATGGGACTTCTTAAGAAGTAAGGGTGGAACTAAAAGAGCACTTTTGTATATAAACTTTTTGTATATACGAGGTGTGTTCAGAAAATAACGGGAATTGTTACATTTCGCGGGTTCGGAGGGTCCGGTTGTCATAAAATTTTCTTTATTATGTTGGTATACATGCCCCCGAAGTATGATAAAAACTTTAGCTGTTTTCATTGTTTACTTTGTCTGTGGCAGCCGCTAAGGTGAGACGTGTTTTATGAGCTGGGCGATTTTTCGTTCGTTAAAAGAAATGGATCAAAAATTTTGTATCCAATTTTGCTTTAAAAATGAAATAAATTCTGTGAAATGTTAACAAAGGCCTATAGTGAGTCTGCTATAAGTAAAACAAGAGTTTACAAGTGGTATAAGAGTTTCCAAGATGGCCGTGAAGCCCCGAACGCACAAGCACATTAACAACCGATAAAAACATGGAAAAATTGGAAGAAATGGTTATAAACCACAGACAGGTCTGTGTTATAAACCATCAGAGAAGTCGCTGATGATGTTGGTATATACATATCGATTGGCTCATCCCATGAAATTTTTTCGAATGTTTTGGGTATGAAACGCGTGGCAGCAAAATTTGTTCTAAAATTGTTAAATTTTGAACACAATTTTTGGCCAAAAACAATACTGTAGTGATGACCCAGCCTCCATATTCGCCAGACATGCGTCTGTCTGACTTTTTCCTATTCTCAAAAACAAAGAGAACCTTAAAGGGCCGTCGTTTTGCAAGCATAGATGACATTAATAGCGCATCGCTGAAAGAACTAAAGGCTATCCCAAAGATCGAGTTTTAGAAGTGTTTCGAGTATTGGAAGAAGAGCTGGCACATGTGCATAATATCCAATGGGGACTATTTTGAAGGCGACAACATTAATGTAGACGAATAAATAAATATTTGTTTCAAAAAAAGAAAAGTCCCGATATTTTTTGAACACACCTCGTATATATATGTATAAGTGGTTTTTCGGGATCTGCTCCGTGTTGTCGGTTTTTGGTTCTTAAAAGAACCGTATGTCTGATGACAATTCGGTACAATCTCATTCCTCTTCAGGTCTTATCTGCTGGGCTGCTGTTGATGCTCTGCTGCGAGGTAGACGTGTAACATTAAAAAATAATTTACTAGAACTACCCCTAAAAGCTAGGTTTTGCTTAGCTAAAAATTTAACAACCGATATAATTCTAATTCTAAAACAGAACACCATCTTTTCTGTTCACTGTTAATTAGTTTTTCCTGTAAATAATCTATTGTTGAGCCACATTTTAATGAAGCTTGTAATTGAATCATTTTGTTGCAACGTCTAATATGATTATTAGAACTTTCATGTCGGCTTAAGGTTCGCGATAAATGTTGCCAATCTCGAAATCCATAGAACTAGATTAATTCCCAAATAACTTACATGGGAAACAAAACACAGAGTATATTTTTTAGAATATCCAAGTGCGTTAAACGGATTCACCATTTGGTAAAGTTTTTAAAAAATATTTATTTTAAAAACTTCTAGTGCTAGCGTCTTTGGGATAAGTTGTTTTCTTATTTAGTAGGTTACCTTTTTCTACTAGCATTAACCTTATTGTCAGATAAAGGTGTAGACCATGCACTTGGATCAGAATTAATTACAATATTAAAAAGTTTACCGTCACTTTCTGTACAAATATTTTCTAAAATGCCGCCCCTCGATAGTTGCCGCCCGGGCGCAGTGCACCCTTTGCACCCTGGGTTGGCTCGGCCCTGACTGGGTAGTCAAATACCACCTACACAAAACCGGACTCAGCAACGAGTCGGACTGTAGGTACTGCATCGAAGTAAACGAAACTACCGAGTCAATAGTAGACTAAGACACCTAGGGGACAGATACTTGGAACCAGAGGAAATAATGCATGCCCGACTAGAGCGGGTCTGCGCTTTTCTTAAAAGCTGCGGGCTCGTAAGGTAAGGCAGGGCTTCACCAAAAGGGGGTTTGCACAATGGGCCGTATGTGTGCCTAAGTGCTGCCTGCAAAGGCTCCCCTTCAAATCAAATCAAATCAAACGTCGCAATCGAAATACATCACGAACAGGGGCGCACTGACAAGGTATCCTTCAGACAAAACGACAACAACCGGTCAATCGCAATTTGTTACAGACTAGGCAGGACAGGAACTTACAATCACTACGACAGTATAGTACATATCTGGCCAACATTGACACAAGCGGTGCCTTGCTTAACAGAGGCAGGAAACATAACCAACATAAGAGCCTGCGGCAACGGGGAATACACACAAACACAATCGAGCGGTAACAGGGCGACAAGTTTAGACAGGAGTACACAACAACACACTATAGAGTCTATAGTATAGACGGTAGACCTTGCTACACATTCCACGACACCCTGGCTCAGACAATCCAATTCACACAAACCGACCTCGCCAGTTGGGAACAAATCAGCACCCACAAAAACCTTATGCGGGAGGAGACGGAAAAACTGTACCAACAGCGACACCGTCACTGATAAACCGGAAGTAAACCAACAAAGATAGGTGTAAGCAAAGAACTAACCTACCTACCCCCATTCATCAATCCTAATTGAATGGGGTTATTACTAAGACCCAGGTTGAGGAGGATTCCGGATTGTACTTAGTTTTGGGTCAGTTCAATGTCCTCCAAAAACCACCACTAGCCCTCCTTATCCCGCACTCCTCTAGCCTAAATTGGACGTATGGCCCGACCCGGCTGACAAAAATCCGGGAGTGGCCTTAACCATAGACACTGTCATCCACGACCTCCTAGGGTGGATCTACCAGCCGCGGCGTAAAAACTTCGGATCCAACAAACACAGGTAATATTACAGCATATGCTGTGAATTGGCGGTATACGTAGGAGAACGGAAAGGGGGTAAAATAACCCTGGGAGATTAGTGTAAGATAATGTCGATGGGGCCTGCCATACGTTCCCATACTCATACTCAACAATATTGAATGTATTATGATCCCAGATAATTTAATGATGATGCATGATTTAATCGTGATTTATTTATTTATTAAGTATTAAATCTTAAATTAGTAATTATTATTCCTTATAAGTAATTATATTTAATTACCACTAAAGAATTAAATCTCAAACAGAGTTAAACTATGTTTATTATTTAGGATATAAATAAATCTTTTGAGGATTAAATTTGTTTTGCTGCAGCCAAGTATTAAAGTAAAGTAATATCAGATTAAAATTTTTGTTTATAAACCCAATAAATATTTTTTATTTTATTTTTGTAATTTTCTTTATTTAAATTTAAATGTCCTTTTTGACTTGTGTGTCAACATTTTTTAATTTATAATAACTTTTGCGAGATATTGACAGTTTACAGCTTTATCTACGCAAGTTATTTTGTAAAGGTAAATATTAATATAATATTTATTTAATAGCGTTTTTAATAAAAATTAAGTTTTAGTTTTTTATACATGTCTCTTTTAACACAAAACAATTACTGTTCACCTCACAGTGCGATAGTAATATCCAATAACAGCGATTTAGATGGTCAAAAAGTAGTAAGAAGGTTTATTAACTCGGCTGTTTATGTAGAAAAAGTTTTACCAAATATGGAAACAGAAGATTATAGATTTACAACATACACAATGCCTACTAGAAAAAAAACTTTGGGTGGAATAAAAAAAACACTTAAATGCTGTTGTGGTACTGATTACAGTGATTGTCCTTGCCATCCAAATAATAACATTAATAATGAATTCAATGGGTACATTTCTAATAGATCAACAAATAGCAAAGTTTCAGAAGGTTCATTTACTGAAATAGACAGTCAGATAACAGTAAAAGAAAGATTGAAAGATAATGCTGAATTTAGACTATCATTGACATCTTTATCAACTCAAAACAATTTTCTTGATAGCGAAGAAAAAGAAGAGATAATAAAAAACTGGATAAGAAAAAAACAAGCAGAAAAAAGACAAAGATTGCTAAAAGAGCAGAAGAAACAAGAGAAAAAACAAAAACGCAGAGAGGAGGTCTTAGAAATGGAAAGAGATAATTTTAAAAGATGGCTAGCCGATAAGAAACAAGAAGAGATACTAAGAAGGCAAGAGAAACAAAAGGAAATGGAAGAATTAAAACAGAAAGAGGAAGAAAGACAAAAAAGGCAACAAGAAAATGATTTAACTTATAAATTATGGTTGCAAAGGAAAAAGAAAGATGAGCTAGGTAATACATTTTAAGTTAAACAAATCTATATAACACACATTTCATTTCTTTAACCGGTTGGCAAAATTATAGCTGTTACTTGCGTTACTTTAGAAAATATTATTAAGTTTAAACACATTTAAATACATTTAATTTTAATAGAGAAAAAAATTAGAGATAAAATAAAAGAACTGGAAGAGATGGAAGAACGTGACAGAAGAATAGAGGAAAATAAAATAGCTTTCCAAGAATGGGTAAAACACTCAAAAGGCAAACCAAAACCTTTACCATCAAACCAAGGATTAACCAGTAAATATTTTAATACCTCTTAAATTTTAGAATCTAAAACCTATAAGTATTTTTTTCTACTCCCACCTTTAAAACGCCCTTTATCGTACATGTTTCTATGACACTAAGTAACCTTTTAAATACACATTGACAAGTTGTGGCTTTCAGTGGCGGCTGGTGGATTTTAAGTATACCAATATCTCAGTTATTAGACATGGGACCCACACCAAATTTATAATAGTTTATATTGACATTAAATAAACAAGTTCGGCGCAAACAGAATTTAAATTGAAGTTTGCGAAAAAAAGTTAGTTTTTCCTGTCGCCTACCCTGCCTCCAGAGATAATTCAAATTAAAGTGGTGCAATTTATTATCTACTATAATTTATCGACAAATTTAAAATTTTATTCAAAAAATCCATATATTACAGATTTTCTTCGATTTTAAATTTTTATTATTTATTTTATTAAAATAAAAAAATATTTAAAATGGTATAAAAACTATAATATTTGGATTTTTTAAATAAAATTTTAAATTTGTCGATAAATTATAGTAGATAATAAATTGCACCACTTTAATTTGAATTATCTCAAATAGGGGGGCCTGGAGGCAGGGTAGGCGACAGGAAAAACTAACTTTTTTTCGCAAACTTCAATTTAAATTCTGTTTGCGCCGAACTTGTTTATTTAATGTCAATATAAACTATTATCAATTTGGTGTGGGTCCCATGTCTAATAACTGAGATATTGGTATACTTAAAATCCACCAGCCGCCACTGGTGGCTTTACGGCGCTTTAGTCACGGGCTGAAGTTAGCAACAGGTTTTTAGTCATGGGCTGAAGTTAGTTTTAAGTTAGTTGACAGTTGTCAAATGTCATACAATCGTTAAAATAAAGTGTCTTTCTTGTAAAATAATACTAAATGTGAAAATTATTTTATTATCTCAATACAAAAATACAAAAATGTTAAATAGTTTCTCAACGCCAATATTTAAAAAGTTTATATGAACATTGTACTGACCTTTTAATTTCGCCGGCAGTAAACTATAACTTAAATTCGGGCACGGACTCTACTGTAAAGTCCTCATAAAACATTTCCTTTATAATTGTGTTAATAAAATGTAAAAATGTGACATTTGACAGGTTCCCCTGTTGTTTCATAGATGGCGCTCTATACAAATTTTTTATTTAATCATTTTAAAATAATAAGTATTTGTCGTAGAAAAAGTATAGTATGCACCTCGTTTATAAACTTTTCTATACACTCATTTATTTAAGAACTCGCTTGCAAGCTCGCTCGTGCCTAAATTAAATTCGTGTATAAAATGGCGTTTATCAAACTTGATACATAATATACTATTAATTTAAGAACTTAAGTCGTTTTTTCGCGTAAATACCATGTAATACTACGGTTAAATAAGTCATGACGTCACAGTTAATTCGTATAACCATGGTTAGGTTTCAAAAATTTGACATTTGTTTACTTGTTTATAACCTTTAATTTTTGAAATGTGTTTTTACCTATTTATATTTAATTTCTATGCTTTTACCGGTGTAAATAAATTTCTTTGCCTCTTCTTGTAACTAGTATATTCTTTTTCTATACTAGTTTTTTCAATACACGTTATCCAATTCTCCTACATGTTTAATACAAAATAACGAAGAATATAAAACAAACCTGCATATAATTCCTCCACTTCTTGTGGAGATTCCACAATATGGAGCACCCTATCATTTATTTTTACTGACAACACCCCGTTTACCATTTTAATACAAAGTTTAAATTCGGTTTAAGAGCAATTATACCTACTTAAAATATTTTAAATTCCAAATGTAAACAACTTTTTTAAACAGAAAAATATATATTAAAAAGAGAAAGACTATTAACCACGTTGAATAACTAGCTCAGCGATATAGTTTTATGGTCTGGTATTTGTGACGTCATAGTTAGGATTTTTGAACGCACTCTAAACGCAAAAATGCCTTAACTATTAACCAAGGTTAAGTATTTCATGGTATTTACGTGAAAAAACGACTTAAGTGGATGTGGCACCAAGGCTCTTAAATAATGTTTTTGTTAGTTTGCAAATTTGTTTTTAGAATAACATGACAATTCTGTATTAGATAATATTTAGCTATGTTATATTATATATCCAACTTATGAGACAGAAAGATCTTCAAATTTCTGCCTGTGTTAATTAAACCACAATTATACTGCCGTGTTAAGCTTAAAGGTCGTATCTGCAATATTTTGTAGTAAAGGACAGAAGAAAATTTTAATTTAAAAAAACGATAAAAAATGGCTTTTTTGCTTTACTACTAAATATTGCAGATATGAAGTTTTGTCTTCGAACGGCAGTTTGTGGTAGTAAAGAAAAAACTTTATTCTTTATTGTTTTAAAAATTAAAATTTTCTTCTGTCCTACAAAATATTGCAGATACGACCTTTAAGCTTAACACGGCAGTATATGAGTCTTGATTGGTCCAAAATAACTCCAATCAACAGATAATCCAAATCAATACTTGATTCTTAAATGAAATCTACTTAAGTCATCTAGCATTTCTCTAAAAAAATATAAATTTTGTATACAAAATGTGTTCAGAAAATAAAGTAAATAGGTGATTTTTAAAATTAAAAATCGTACAGGAAAAAAATCACAAGGGCAGTCATACGCAACGCGTCGCTAAAAGAAATTTCTTATTGATATACAGGGTAAGTCTTTTAAAAAAAATTAAATAAAAATTAAATGATCCGAGGGGGGAAATAAATTAGTACCAACATTATTTCCCATACTCTCATCCTTATAGGGAGGGCATGGGGTAACTTTAAAATTTCCAATGCAGATTCGGATAATTCGACTAAAATAGGTAGATTTTGTTTAAAACATTTTTTCTTATTTGTAAAAGATGGCGCTGTAATAAAAAATATTTTTTTTTCGATTTTTCGATTTTTTTACTAATATCTAAGTTTCCTAAAGTTATAGTTGAGTATAACCGGCCCCATTGCCTCATCAATCCCAGAATCCGTTCAGGCCTCTGTTTCCTTACATTTTAAATCTGCGTACGACGCGGTATTCCCCTAGACCGGGCAGTTAGTATTACTCCAAACATTTGGGATTACTGGTTGATGGTTGGGGAGTTGTTATTTCGCTGCAGGGGCCTAACTTACTAGTCTTTACCGTTATTGTCTGTGTCCGTGTCCAAGTCGGATTGTTCCTGCACTTGGTATAGTAATTTAGTTTTTTTTCTTATCTTAGTCTTGTTGGTGCTTAGTTGGTCCTGTTCTTGTTAATTTGTGAGAAGTGAATATTCGTAAGTAATATCATAAGGGCATCTAATTTTTACGAAAAAAATCGAAAAAACACGTTGCCAAGTAATATTTTAACAAGAAGCATGAGTGCTGGTTGCAACAAAAATCCGAGTCGAAGAGGAGGATTTTTGCACCTGCACGAATGCATTTAGTTCAAAAATATTACTTAGCATTGTGCTTTTTCGATTTTTTTCACAGGAAAAATTAGATGCCCGAATGGTATTTGACAAGACTATTTCATGAGTAACAGTTAACAATTAAAATATAAATTGCAATTTTTGGTGACAACAGCTGTCAAGTTTTGCCGCGGGTAAACTAGAAACCATTTGTAATTCAAAATTGCGCGTTTGTGATTGGTGGAAATTAAGACGAGGGAAATAGTCAGTGCTAACGTGTCGTGCAACGTGAAGCGTGGTCACTCGACTTTTTTGTCTAGAAGGTCTAGTTTTAGGATGGCTTGTAGTATGTTGTTCCTGTGGCTACGGGTGGCGTGGGCCCAGTATTTTAGTTGGTCCACCCTTACCAGTTTGGTAATGGTTTTGCCCAGGAGCAAGTCGTTAAGTACGCATAGACTTGTCCTGTTTTGTTAGTTATGTGTTCGTAACGGCTGATTAATTCGTTTATTGCGTCTTCGACGTTTTTAGGGAGGTATTTTTTTAACTTCCACTGTATATTCCAATGTGATTACGAAATCAATTAAAATTCGGTTGGTGTTTTATGTGTTTATGTTTTCTTAATTTATTGTAAGTTCGTAGTGTCAAATGTTTATTTTGGTCTCGTTTAGTTTAAACACTTTATTTTGTTGGGGCCGTCCTCTTAAATTTATGGTTTTACACGTTTGTTATTGACAGATTTATTATCCTACTCAGCTTTTCTGTGAATAACCGCGGTAGGGCAGTTTTGTTTTGTTTTTTTGTTGTTGTTTGGATACTATTGTCTTACTAATGTTACTGATGGACTTTGATTATTTTTTTGTTTTTTTTTTTAGTGTTAAGCAAAAAGTGCCTCACTTAGGGTTTTTAAAGGTACCTGACGTGGTTAGTGTTGCAAATTAGGTGTTAGGTCATGCAGATGGTTATGGTTACTTATCGGATTTTTCGGATGGCCTTTTCTCCCTTGGTTATCCTCTATTGTTTGTCTCGTGTTGAGCGTCCAATTGACAGGTGGTTAGACTACCTAGAAAGGTGACTTATCACTTAACACTTCCTAGGGTAGTCTCTACTCTTTGTTGTTGTTACACTATAGATTATTTGCACTTTATAATTAATTATTGTAAGTTTAGGCTTGTATGTTTTAGAAGTCGATACGTCTTACTTGCCATAGTATTCAAATGTGATTGGTAAGTTTCCTAAAGTTACATTTATATACATTATTTCATTTAATCAAGATTAATAAGTTTTACATTTTAAACTCGTGTAATTTTTTTATTGTTCAACCGAGAAAAAGAGTCCGTCGAGCAACAGTCACCGGTGACAATAATGAAATTAATGTAATAGCAGCTGTTGCCGAGAATTATCTCGCGATTTCGGAATATCCCAAAGCACGTGAAGTACTTGATATAAATTTTAATGGTCGCTGGATTGGTAGAGCTCGTCCGGTTAGTTGGCCTGCTATTATTAATAATAACAACCAACAAGTATTTTATAGAAAAAAGAAGAAAAATCGAACAAAATTGATTTTTTTATTACTGCTTCATATATTACAAATGTGAAAAATGTTTTAGACAAAATCTACCTATTTTTAGTAAAATAATCCGAATCTGTAATAAAAAATAGGGTGTTCCATTGGAAATTTTGAAGTTACATGCCCTCCCTATAAGGATGAGATTATGTGGAATAATTTTGGTACTAATTTATTTTCCCCCTCAATTATTATTTTTTTTTTAATTATTATAAAGTTTTTAAATATAAGTAATATGTATTACGTTTGTTGGAAAATTTATTTATTCTTTTTGTAAAATGTTTGACATTTAAGATCGGTAAAATGAAAAAAAAACAAAGGAAAGAAATATAGTGGTTAGGAAGCACTAAAAAGAAAGCGAGAGCAAGAAGTGAAAAAAGCAAAGTTGCCGAAAATTAGTGCTTATTTTGAAACGCCCTCAAAAATCATATTTGGAAATAACGGAAACGGAAGCGTCCTGTTCGAAAATTGTACCGAAGCAAAAAATTACTTGTACCCTATTGGGATTTTTCCTTAGACTTAAGGCGCCAAAGTTACTCTTGCCATGAGTTACTCATGAGTACACTGCAGTATCGCACTGCCTGTACAAAAGTTCTGTGATTTAATCTTCAATCAGTCTTTAATTTAAACGTCATTGTTACACTCGTTACTAAAGTGATTAATTATGGCCAAGGCACTTAAAAATGCTTTAAACCAATCTAGTTAGGTTATTTATGGCGTAGGACGTAAAAATTCATTCATTACTACTTTGGACAAATAAAAAAATTTTACTTCTGTCAGATCTATCTAACCTTACTTTCTACAAATGTTGTATGCTATTTGGCCAAGAAGTGTCTTTGTTATTTTCTTGATTCTAGGCTCAGCACAAAAAGACCTGCTTCTTGACCTAATGACATAATTAATCTGGGATAATTACTTATTCTAGCTTGTAAACTACCAGAATGAAAAACCGACTTTTTAAAAAGGGAAATATTGCTTATGAAAATTTTCTTTACCTCTTTTATAAAATTTAAGTTTATTTCACAAATGAATAATTTATGGAATTCAATGCATTTTATTTTTAGGTTTGTGTTCATCATTATCTGTAACATACATAAATCCTGTACCATGGACTCCAAATATAAAACATGAATTTGGAATTTAAATGTGAAAAATAATAAATATATTTGTTAAAAACTGTTTTAATGGGTAAGAATACAAAATCCAAAGCTTTAAATAAGATCCACCTATTTATTATGAAAAATACTTTATATCTCAATTAATACCAACAATAAATCAAACAAACATAATAGAAAGTACTCACTTGTATTAAAATTCAAAAAATTATTAAATTAATACAGAGATTCTGTTGCATTGTTGGATCTTGGCTTTTTAATTTTATCTAGATTTTTAACAACAATGTCATGCAAGGCGCAATATCTGTTTCTTATTTCTGACAAAACCAACCATAAACTCAAATATTCTTTCTCATCTAATTCTTCAACTGCTCTGCGGTAATCCTCAATATGTGGGTACTTAGCAACTTTAGAAACTAATTTTCCTGTAAATAAATAATAATTTAAGTAAATTTAATCTTAATTACTTTGATATTACCTCTAGAGATGAAGTATCTTGAAATTTGATCGAAAAATGCTGCCGCTTCTGCCTCAACAGATTGTACTTCAGCCAATGTGTCTTCTTGAATAGAAACACCAAAGTTATTACCATCTTCTATTTTAGGTATCATAAAGGAAATCCACATTTTCATCTAGGGAAAAAATGATAATTTTTAATTGGGTAGGTACTTTACTTAATTTAAAGATTTTTGTAAATACTTTTAAAATTGTGAAACAAGTCACAGTTGCTATTTGCTTATAAATTGTTACATATCTTTGTAAGGAACACATTTTTATAACCTAAAAGCATTTTTTTTGTTGATTAACCACATAAAATAAATATTTTTCATTTCAAAGATTTAAAATAAAAGCCGAATTTAACTAATACTATTCCTTATTTGAGAGAGTACCTAAACATTTTAAAAGTAATTGTTTAAAATCATTTTATATAAAAATGAACTTACCAAATTGGAGTCTTCAACAAGCTTCCTAATATGGGGTTTTACATTTTCAATCAGTTCAACAAGATTTTTGTTTGTCGGAACAGATCCTGTTGGAATTATCATAACTTTGGTACCATCTTGTGATAAACTGTTGTCAAATTTAGTTTTTTTAGTGGGAGGCATATCATTGTGGCAGTTAAGTAATATAGGATCAGGCACAGGAATATTGAGGTCCTGGTGAATGTCAGAAAATTTACGGTTTTTAAACTGTTTGGTCTCTAAAATGCTGTTCAGCCTGACTATTGTCTCAGGAAAACCTTTAAGAACCAACTGTTCTGCTTCACCTTTCACATTGTCTTTGTATTCTTGTACCTAATAATTAAAAAAAATAGTTTCAAAAGAAAAGAAAGAATAAAAAGAATACTTTTATGTAGTCATAATTTGAATAGTCATTTTGGTCATACAATGCAAAAATATCTTCGTTCATATTTTTCCAATTTTACCGAAAAACATCCCCGTCATTTAAAAGGGTGCAATAAAATGATTATGACATTGACGCAAACTTGTCACGGCAAGAACGAAAACGTGTTTTGTCTATGGTGTTTCTTGTAACGCCAAACTAACAATATTATTTTTATTATTTACCTTTGTTGTGTCGGACATAATGAAGTGTAATACTAACACACACAATAAACAAATAAAACGATTTTCAGGTCTATACTTATAACTTAACCTAGAACACACTCATTGACAAATTTACCAAGCTTTCAATGAACTGAAGATAGCTATGTATGTATAAAACATGCAGTGTTGCCAGATGTAAAAATTGAAATAATCGAACAGGGTTGACCAAATTTTCGATTTTCAAAAAATTATGTTACAATAATTATAAGCTAAAAAAGTATCGCTAGTAGCGCCACCACTCGGCTGTTCTCATCAATAGTATAACTTTTAATAATCAGCTGTCAAACGCTTTTATGTTACGAGTGTTTTTGAGAATAAAGCCGGAAAATGTTAAAAAATATCGAAAAAAAAGCGTGGTTCGAATTGTTGTGTTGTTGAGTGTATTTCGAGAGAAAATCCTGGGTTGAGTTTTTACCGGTTTTCCAATAAACAGTGTTAATCTGAATGAAGAAATAAATTTCATACCGTCTAATACACATAAAATACACATTTTAGTAATGATTAACGTGAAAAGTGTAAACATTTCAATTCAGTAAAAATCGTCAAACAAATAAGTGGTCTAAATTCAAACAGCATTTAGCATTATTAAAAGCTTTGATTAAGAAAGTCTCCAATCAACTCGTTGCAACGGTAGAATTATGTATTATTTATAATATTATGTTGCCATGAATTCGTAGGTATATTTTGTTGTTTAAAATGCAGTTGTCGGCGTTTTTTAGAGGACTCAAATATAAAAATGTTCGATTTTAAGGTTATGTTTGTTCAACAATTATTTTTTACGCCGAGACTAGAAGTACAGTGGCCGACACGGAATTTTGAACGACATAACTTGGTTGTCAATGTATACATCTGTAAATAGCAAAGATACAATATTGAGCATTTTTGCTTTCGCTGTCAAAATAACAATACTATAGTGATAACCGAAAGTAAGGTTAGTTGTCCATAAAGAAAGTTTAGATTTTGATGTCAACGGGATGATAGTCGTTCAAAATTCCGTGTCGGCCACGGTACACCGGGAGTACGGGCATTAAACGTATTGTGCGCATGCGTGTTTCCATACCAGCTGATGGTAAAATTTCGGATTTATTTGTTGAGATTAAAGTCCCAGTTGTATAATAGTTGGTAAACAGCTGGTTAACTCTTGATAATAATTATGTAATTATTAAGCTAACTTTCAAGTTGTATAAACATTGATTAAAATTTTAATTAAGTGATTGAAACACAATTAACAACAAAATTAATGAAATGAATTACTCAAACCAACCCAAACTCAACAACCCAACCGACCCCGCCCCATTGGGCCCCCTCCGCCCCATTGAGCGCGAAATTGAGCGACCATTTAATATTATACAATTAACAAATAAGTATAAAAATTTGATAAATAAGGATTTTTTTCAACCCGGTGTACGTTTAATGCCCGTACTCCCGGTGTACTTCTAGTCACTTTGTATTTGTATCTTAAAAATGTCCAAATATAAATTAGATTAGGTTTAGTTATCATTAGTATATTCTGCATCAAACAAATGTACTTACCGAATTGGATCCTCTGGCAAAACATGAAAATGCAACGATTTAGTTCTTGAATTTTATTTACAATTAAAAACACAATAATTTACCATGATCCCTTAGAGAAAATACACACACTAACGTAAGCATATAAGCGTTGAGTTTCTAAATCAATGATATAAGGAATAATCAATCGAAATTGAGTACTAAACCAGTTTTTAAGTTTTTTCCTTGCAACGTAAAACATAAATAACGTGCGCGATTTAGCTGTGTAATTGAACAAAATTTGTCGAGTAAGACTTCTGCCTTCCTCTCTTTTGTGAAAAAACTACCTATTTATTTAAAAATTATGTGCAGTTTCTATGGTTTGTATTGTATTGTTGACAATTTTTAAATTCACACAATGCTATCGACTCCACCAGATGGCGCGCGCGATGCGAAAATCCGTATAAAGAAGCATAACAATATACACAAAATAAGAGTTGTTTGAGGTTATGTGGTTTATGCGCATGCCATGAATTTAAATTTGACCAATTAAAATGTATCTTGACAGCCCAGATAGCACAAAGAAGTACTGGAAACGTCCTGAGTATATCTTGTATCAGACATTAGTAAGTCCCGAGTACGTCCGATTCAGGTCCTGAACCTTCCCCAGGACGTACCAGCGATATCCGATGTTACCAAATTGTCGGTCCCCAGAACGTCCTAATCCTCTGGCCGTCCTAAAATGCTTTATTGAGAACTTTTACAGAATTCAAGAGTGGTATTCCCAAAGGGTTTAAGTGACAAAAATAAAATTGTGAGTTGGAATATATTTTTTAAGTCATTCTGCATGACACAATTTATTTTTAAATTTTAATATATTATTTAACCAACTTGGCACTTAGACCCTTTGGAAATAACATGCTTTAATTACTAAAAAAACAAAAATTACGTCCTTGAGGCGTACCGAGTATATCCGCTTTAGTTTTCCCAAATAAGTAAGAGACTGGACGTAGCAAAAACTTCCGATATAGGTCTGGGACGTTCGGACCTATGTGGGACCCAAAATGGACGTCCTGGGTACCTCTTGTGCTATCTGGGAGTGTTGCCCAATTGCCAAATTACTAAACTGGCAGATACGAAACTGGAACCGCACGAGGTGAAGAACACTTCTATTCGGATAACTGTTAGATAAAGGTAACTGTAAGATACTTAACCGCCACTTTTAGTTGGACATTGATAATAATAATAATAAAATACTTTATTCATCCCAAGAAACAATGTGAACTTGTTTATAGAGGGACATTTCTATATATTTATAACATGCATCCAACATACTCCACAAACATTTATACATATACCGCAAAAAAGTATTTACCTTGGATAAAAGAAATATTTTAAAGCCTTAACATTATTTAAGGATTTGACATCGTCAGGCAAGGTGTTATATGTAATTAAGCCTCTATACAATATAGAGTTTTGTCCACACCTGGAGCTAATTTGTATCAAGTCTAAATTATTAACGTTTCTGGTGTTGTGCCTATATAGTTCTAAACATTACTTTTAGATTAGAATGTTTTTTATTATTTACGACGTTCTGTATAAAGGAACAAACTTGATATTAATAGATATTGTCCAAACCGGCCCTAACTCTACAAAGCTTATATATTCAGTGCCTACGTGACCCGCGTCACGCAAGCGCCTTCTCAAACATTCCAGCGAGCTCCACATCGCTCTCGATTATTCGAGCGCTGACTCACTGGCGATGAGTCATAATTTCGAGATCCAGAGCGGTACTCGCTACATTGTCCCCGTCTTAAAACATTTTCGACCGGAAATGTCCGAAGCGTGACATGGTCCTCAGCTCCATGGCAATATTTGCGTAAAGATCCAAACTTGCATTGTGACGTCCTATAAAAGTACGGTCTTCCTTCCGGTTGTTTTTTTAGGGTTGTGGCAACAGACAAGAATGTGTTTGCCACTAAATCTGAAGATAACTTCCACCATACTTCTAATTATTTTTCAGTCTAAACCGTCGAGTCCACAAGCAATCTTTGGTATCGCCAGGTTCATGATGTCCTTGGACAAAAGGGTATCCCTCAATTTATTTAAGGCATTCCATACATCACGGTAGTTTTGCTTCTGATGGGAGAGCTGCTTCGTTACCAGATAGAAGATACTTATTGTAGTGGAATCATTAGGGTCATTATTTTATATTTCCGTAATTTTATATTACAACATTATTGGCTTTAAAATACAAGTTAATAACTTTATAATTGCTGACTTTTATTAACAAATAATTCAATGATGCGCCACGTCATTTTCCTGAGGTAGCATATTTTCATATGCACCTTATAATTAATAATCAATTAGTTAATTAGTATGATATTAGATATAAGGGCCATTCCACGCTTTACGGATAGGACAGTTGCCGTGTTTTTATTTACAAAATAATATTGTTCTATTATATATAATAGAACAATATTATTTTGTAAATAAAAACACATATTACCAATGTCAAATTTTTATAAATAGTTCTAAACAAAAGCTGTTTAACAAGGTTTTTATTTGGCAAAATTAGGTATCGTGATTTGACTGTTTAATTCCTTAAAAATTAATAATTTAAAGCGTAACGGACGGGACTATTACAAAGTCCCGTCCGTTACGCTTTAAATTATTAGTTTTTAAGGAATTAAACAGTCAACCACGATACCTAATTTTGTCAAATAAAAACCTTGTTAAACAGCATTAGTTTAGAACTATTTATAAAAATTTGACATTGGTAATGTAATAGAACAATATTATTTTGTAAATAAAAACACGGCAACTGTCCTATCCGTTAAGTGTGGAATGGCCCATAATTCAAATAAGACAGTATTTAGGGCTGTACCTATACTTGTACTTTATTCTCTAATATATATAGTTATGGGAAATATATTGTCTAATTTCTAACCAGAAACCTTTTAACATCATATGGCGATCCTGCCAGTGCCTCTTTGTAAAAGAGAAAAAAAGTAGTGATGCACGCAGTGGCGGCTGGTGGATTTTGGCACACCCATATCTCAGTTATTAGAAATGGGACCCACATCAAATTTATATGAGTTTATAATGACATTATATAGACAAGTTCTGCGCAAGCAGAATTTAAATTAAAGTTTGCGAAAAAAAGTTAGTTTTTAAGTGCAACCTCCAGCCTCCTGCCCCTCCAAATTAAGATAATTCAAATTAAAGTGGTACAATATTTAATTCACTGAAGTTTATCGACAAATTTCAAATTTTTAAATTTAGTAAAAGAAATAATAAAAATTATAAATGGTATACCTAAAACCTGTAATTCTTGAATTTTTTTCGCAAACTTTAATTTAAATTCTGCTTGCGCAGAACTTGTCTATATAATGTCATTATAAACTCAAATAAATTTGATGTGGGTCCCATGTCTAATAACTGAGATATAGGTGTGCCCAAAATCCACCAGCCGCCACTGGATGCACGAGTGAAAAACATTGACAGTCCAAAAATAGTGAAAGATGTGTAGCTCAAGACAAGCACAAGCCAAAGAAGAAATTATAATTGCCCAGTCAGGAAACAGTGGAGGTCAAACACTAGGTATTGAGCAGGCAATGAACCATCA